TATATATATATATATATATATATAAAAATCACCATCCAGCTCCTGTGTGGGTGCTCTCATGTGTGGTGCTGTGAGAACATCGGGGCACTGCTCAGGGTGCTGCACGGGAGGTCTGCAGTGACAGGAACCTGCCAGGGGGCTGCTCCCAGCCCTGATGAGTGGTGGAAGCAATGGCTGAAGGGCCACAGAGCAGAGCTGGGGTGGCCCAGCAGGGTTCCTCACCTGTGGCAGTGCCCTGAAGCCGTGGCTGAGCTGGCAGCTCGTGGTCCCGGGGCTGAGCCTGGGGCCGGTGTGGAGCAGAGTCCTCGGAGGAAGCCGTGGCTGCCGTCACAGCAGTGACTTGGGCAGCGTGCCTGATAGAAGGAGGGCTGATGGGTGAGGCACTGCTCCCGGCTCTAGAGGCAGCCACCGCTTTGATACCAGTGGTAATTAAAGGAAAGAACTACGTGAGACTAAGATTAGAAGTTGCACATCATCCTAGAACAAGCAGAAACACGCAGCCTGCTGCTGATACCTCCCCTATTCAGCACTGCCTGCTCGCAGCACCTGCAGCCCAAGAGAAGCGGTGCTTGACGTGGCCATCAGCTGTTGCACAGCAGGGAAAACAAGGCATGGAGGAGTCCTTCCATTCTTGTAAGTAAATGCTCCCCTTCCTCCCTCTTGGCACACCCTGACTCATGGTGGCACAGCTTCTTCCTCCGGACACCGAGGGCCCAAACCTGAGGCTATGTGCTGGGGTGAGACCTGCCAATGTGGTGTTTTGTTACCCAGTGGCATCCAGAAGGGCTCTCCCAAAGTTTGGGCAACACCGTTTCTATCTCAGTGACAGAAGGGAGAAGGCAGGCAACACAAGGGTTGGGTTCTTGTGCATCCTGGTGTAGGTTCAGGAATAAGATAAAAGCTGCAAACTGCCACAGCCCAATAGTTCATGCTGCTCCCTGCTGCTGGCTTTCCCTGCCATCTCTCTCAGGAGCCTAGGAGCTCCTGTCACTGAGCAAAGAGGTCCTTTAGTCCTTCTTCCTCCTTATGTGTGGGTTGGACTGAGTTTCTAGGGTGTTTGACACTTGCTTGGGTATGATGGTGAAGAACAGCACTAGAGCCTGCTGCCCTCCTGCCACCTGCCTGCAAGCAGCTCTCCGGGCTCAGTCCTTGCAGTGACCTTACAGCTGGTACACCTCACCACGCTGCTGGACCGCCCCTCTACAGGGGTATATAGGAAACTGGGTGCAGAAAGGCAGCAGAAGCAGAGCTGAGCTGGTGTGGTGCTTGTTTCCTTCTCCGTCTGCAGCCTAAAAACTCTTCTCCTGCTGCACTTTGTCTTAGAATACAGATCAACCCACATCACAAACCAAGGTAGGACAAAGAGCTCTTTTGTTCCAGTCCTTCCGCTGAACTCACAAACCTTGTAGCTGCAGCTGTCACTCCTGGATCTTTCCTGCCTTCACCTTCCCTGTTTCTCACTTGTTCCCATGTCTTCTCCCTGCTCTCCCTTACCCCATATACCCCTCCTTTCAGCTCTTCCTGCCTCCTCTCGTACCTCCCTCTGTCTCCAGACCCATTCTCTGATCCCTGCGGCACCCACCACTGGCACAGGGTGAGGAGAGGCCCCCGAGACCCCGTCCTTGTGTGGTGATCTCCAGGATAGCCATTGCCCCAGCACAGAGGCCCTTGGCTGGGCTGTTCTCTGCGTGCTCCTCACGTAGCTGTGCCACACTGGCAGGATGCTGGCAGACCCTCACACAGGTAAGGTCTTGGTCTTCTGAAACAAGGCCACCTCTTAAATCAACAGCCAGCAGATGTTGGGTTTTCATGGCTTTATAATTACCAAGCTTACCAGCGCATGGTATAAATAATTCTCTTTATTGGCAAGTTTCAACTATGTGCTCAGCCTATACAAGACACAACGATGCAGAAAGTTCTTGTCCCAGATGAAAGATAAACATTGGGAAAATGGGAGCTAAAGGTAAAAGATAATGAGCGTCATATTTTCAAGTATTACATTCCATTCTGTAGGTGTTACAAACAAGACTGAGGCTCAAAGAAGGATCTGAGTAAGACGGCAATAACCTGGAGACGTCTGCAGCTCTTGTGTTTTCCTGATCCCCCTGATTTTTAGGGCATTCCCTGGCCCAGGTCTGATCAATGAAAGCAAATGTTTGATAATGCGCTGCTATAAGGCTCGCTCGCACGCATTCAGAGGCCGGCACCTAGCTGGCTGCTTGCAAGGCTTCTTTGGAGACATTTTGCCTTCTGGATAATGGAAACTACAGAATCCACGCGGTGCTCAGGAATGGCCTTTGCTGAGGTAGTTTGTTGGCCAGGCAAGCCTCAGTGCCAAATGAATCAGCTGCACGACACAGTGCTGTTGTCTTTCTCCAGGTTCCTGACTCTTCAGCAGAGTTTCTACAAATGTGTCTATCAGAAAACTCTCTGCAGTAACCCAGCAAGGCTGACCTTGCCCCAGATCTTCAGAATCCCAAAGGAGGACAAAATGGAGGTGAAGAAGGGTCAGAACAGTTCTGAAAAGACACAACAAAGTCTGCCCAAAGGGGCATGGTCCACCAGGAAGTGTAATATCAGTATTTGAGTTGTTATCTGAGCAGCTGGCAGAGGGAAGCCCCCAGTGAAAGAGTGAATCTGGTTTGACATCTGAATATGATCTTCTAAAAACACATTGCATTAAAAAACATATATTCGTCACCAGTGCTTCAGAAGCAAAGAGGGCAGGGGCCCTACTCAGCTGGGAAACAAAAGGAAAGAGAAATGTGCACTGCAAAGTCACAGGTATTTTCCACTGCATCCACAGGAGAAGGAGATGTCAGAGTTTACTCCCTGTATTGTGGGCTGCCACAGCATGGTGCGACCAAGAGGGAGACTTCAATGTTGACCATATTGCTTTTTGGGGCTGCCTCTGCATCCGTCCGTGGAAGATGATGATTTTGAAGCCAAGGAGGCCAGAATTAGGGTCTATACACCTAGACAGCTGGAATACAGATTTGCTCTCTCAAGCCTGGTCTGTTGGGAGGGATAAAATACCAGGCCATTTTTTCTGCCATCAAAACAACCAACACTGCGCCTGTAAAATTCTTACCTCTTTAATTTCTCAGCAGGTGTCTTTTAGCTCATGTCCCCACTGACAGAAATTCACTTGTTTAAAGGACAAAATCTTTGTTCTGTTCATGCAAACTGTTGGTTCCTCCTACTGCCATGGTGACTCTTGGCTAATGAAGAACCATCTGCACCACTCACCCCTGGAAGGATTGCCTTCACCGCATTTTGCACAGCGCTAAAAGTTCCGCTGGCACTAAACGAAGATAAAGAGGATCTAATGGTAGCACTAATTCTTCTGGCCAGATCACATGCTCGTTTTCAGGCTTTGACCACACCATACTTTTCCAGCTGCTTAAAGAACAGATTGCGAGGAGAAGGGGAAAACTGTTTCTGCAACTCTTATTCTATTTCTGAGCAGTTAAAGCAGCAGGATGACTTCTGAAAGCCCTTAGCACTAGGCTGAGTGCCAGGAACATCTCTGATAGGAGCTTCCTCTGTGGTCTCATCTTCTTCTCCTTTACAAGTGAGACTTAAAAGCCGCTTATTTCCCACTAATGACAAGCGATGACATAAGAATTAGTTGTTACCTTTATGGTGGTTTGGAAATACAAAATGCCAGTCATTAGGACAGCTTCTTGAAGAGAAGTTCTAATACCAACTCAGCCTGTCTCAAATGTTGCATGAGAGAAAAACAAAACAGAACAAAACCACAACACCCAACAAATCCAAAAGAAAAGCTTGAACTTAAACTTGTCAAAAAGTTTGAATTTTGCCCTTCGTTGGAAACTCTGAGAGCAGGTAGAAAACAGAACATTTCCCTCTGTATTTAGCAAACAGCATTTCCCCTTCAACCTCATTGCTGCTAATTGGGCAAAAGTTTACTCGTGCCTATGTACCAACATTGTTGCCAGTGTCAGCACAGCCCTGGGAATGATCTTTGCCTGTTGGCTGATAGTGCTGCAGAGCCAGGAAGGAAAGTGCTCAAACAGGATCAGGGAGCAAAAACTACCCAGCAGCACTGAACAGTTGAGGTCATTTCTCTGCCAAGCAATGATTAACTAAAGGTGTCCTTTGACAGTCTGGAACACAAGGCTGGAAGAAAAGGAGACAAAAGTCTGTACTTAGCTACTCAGTTTCTAAAGACAAGCAGATGCCTTGAAAAAGCAGTAACAGCTGTTTTGACATCTCCTGGCTGGGTAACTATGCTCAGATTTAAATGCAGCTACCAGTGAATTTCATTCCCATCCCTTCCTGAAACAGCAAAGCAAACAGAAGGACTCTCAAGTCTTCCAGCAGCTTACTACATCCAAGGAGTGCAGTGCTCCCAGCAGAGCTCAGAAAATAACACAGAAAGAAGAACATGAGAACATGAAGATACTGTCTCTTACTGGGAATGTACTTCACAGCTCAGAAGAAGGGGAGTTACCCAAGCAACCAGCTAGAGAAGAACCTGGCCAGGATGTTCGATGGTAATGACTTCAACTGGTAATTGGGTTGATGCAAGTAGAACATGTTTAGTTCGATGGGTTTGATCCTACAGCTCTGCTAGCAAATATCCAAACCGTGAGGTGATCACAGGTTTAGCTGGGATGTGCACCTAAGAGTCATCTTCCCAAGCTACGGATAAACATGAGAACTCAGGATATCAGCTCTGAGCTCAGTTCTGAAAATAGCACACAGTCCTGGGAGAAGTCCTTAAAGGTCAGGAGGGTGAGCAAAGGAAGGGGAAGAGAGCAGCGCCAAGAATCCTGCAGAAGCATGCTTGGCTGTGGCAGCAAGGAGACTCTTTCAGGCTATGTAGCATCTGGAGCATTTGCTACTTCTTTCTCAGAAATGCAGCCCCGAAATGCAAGGCTTTCTCTGTTCCAGAAGGATCAGCGGCTGGGCAGGACTGCCTAATGCACGCTCTGGAGGGCACCACAGCAGGGACCTGGCCTCGTACTGCCTGCGGAGAAGCTCAGCTCTGCTCCCACTGGGAGCAACGGGAGTTTTGCTAGCACTTCCAGTGGAATCAGAGTTTGCCCAAATATTTCCATGCAGCAGTGAAAGCGGGCAGCTCTGTGACATAGCCCTAAGTGACACGAGTCAGTACTCTGCGCTGGGACAGACCCCACCACAACAGGAGCACGAGGAAAGCTTTGGTACCTATAGTGAAAAGGCTATGTGCAAGAGATGAACTTCTTAAATAAAGGATATAACGAAAGTGACTTCAGCCCAACAAACGCTCTTTCATTCTCAAGCTCTAATCAGTCCGTATCACAAAAGCATTAAAGCCTTAAGCAAGTACACTGCCAGTGCTTTTCTCTGGGTTACGCACACATCAAGGAAGGGGGAAGATACGGTAACAGCAGAGACAAGCTAGGCAGATCCTCCAGGTGGGGTGAGATCCAGCACTGTGGATTTGATTCTCTTTAGGGTTTAGCCAGTAGCATGTATGGTATAATCTAGGGAAACTGTCCCGTTGGATCTTAAAACACAAACACAGCAGAATGTCATCATAAATAAGCAAAGTCTGTGTTAAAAAATTCTAAGTACACAGCATTTTCTCCAGTTCTGACACCTTTTTAATAGAAATCACTTGTTTAGGAAACAAATAGCACTTTTGTAATTTTTTTTTTTTTTTTTTTTACAATGTTTCTTACCTTGATCTTATTTTAAGTAACACTAGGAAGACCTCAATATCTTTTATTTTCCTTTTTAATTTAAAAAAGTTGTTTTTTTACCCCCAGATACAAAGATTTTGCCCTTGCATAAAAAAACAGTGCCCAAAACGATGACACAAGGACTCACAAAGACTCACTGTATCTCACTGACACTATTACTTCTAATCTATACCATGCAAGGTCCCATCTACCTCTTTAATTAGACTGTCAGCCTGAAAAACAGCTTTTCTATTCCTTATTTAGTTCTTGTTACCAAAAGAAGAGAAAAGAAGTGAAAGAAAAGGACATTTCTCTGTTCAGTTCACACATCTGGGTCATGTGCTACTTTGTTCAGGACAGTTTTGTTGTTTATAAATATAGAAAAGGGTTGGAATCTCATTTTCAAGTAATCGATGCACATTTTCTCTTGGGACACCTCCATCCAACACTCCAAGCTGACCCTGGATTCTGGCCCTCTATTCTCCCATTCCCAACATAGGCTTTCTGGATGAGTGTGAAGATTTGAATCAGTTCTGCAAAGCATGTATTTCTCTGATGTGAAGAAGTACAGTTTAACCCAAAGCTGTTGGGAAAGTAGATCTTCAGCCTGTACATGTGCTGGTTACTCAGTGAAAAGTCCATCTCCTTTCCTTTTGTACATCTCCTGTCTAAACAATAGTAAATACTGCTTATTTGATAGACTTGTCCCTTCTGGGCACTGGGATTTGATAATTTATATTTCTGTTTTTTTTTTGGTTTAATAGTACTGAGAGTTTAGAAACAGGAAAAGCCCACAGGCTCTTTGGACTTGTTTTTGTTTTCCCCTAGCTAAACAAACTGTTCTGCAAATAAGGATTTGAAACCTGCTCTCCTCCCTTATCCCTGCTCCTCACCCCAAACAAAAATAAAACAAACCTATAGTGGCTGTGGAGGCTGCTGCAGGCACACACTGGTGTAAAATATAGAGAGAGTAAATATATTATTTCACTTGGCATGGTGCTGGCAAAGAACCCCCAGCTGGCACTATTCATGTATCATGATCCAAACTTTGCATGTACACACAGAATAAGAAGGATCAATTGGCAAACTCCGGTGCCGCCTGGCACAAGCATCTTCACGCTCTCTCTGGAACCAAAGAACTAAAGAATTCTGCACTTTCCAGAAGAAATCCGGTTTTGCTTTTCTAGAGTTTTGTTATTTCGCTTCTCCTCCTCGCCGCCACCTCCCCTGGCTCCTTCTGAGCTTCGCTGTGTTATTTAGTCTCATCGCCCTTGTTACAGTTCACCATGCAGCTCTGGGAAGGGGAGGGGGCTAAGGTGGAGGTGGCAGCATTAGTATTGTTAGTGGAGTCCATGCCATTGGAGATGGCTACTGAATTGACCTCAGAGTTTATGGGTTTTGAAAGGTCGATGCCTTGGATGAGGCGGATCAGCTGTTTTACCTTCTCCAAGGAGCTGTGCATCTCCTTCTGTTTTGCAAGGATGGTATTCTTCATTTCCATGCATTTCTGCAGCAAAACAGAAAAGCAATGCTAAGTTCAAGCTTTACCCTTGTAGGAATGGAAGCAGGCAAGAGAAGGAATTCAGCGTTTGCGGATCTAAATGTAAGTACTCAGAAAAGACTGCAGCTGCAATGTTACCTGTAATTTCAGACTAGAAGAAAAGAAGGCTCAGAGCTGTGTTCACGGCATTCATATTTGCAAGCTAAGGAACTAAACTGTCTGTACATAGCTGCCCCCCAATAAGGTCCTTTAATCCCAAGGCGCCTGGCAGACCAACACAGACAGTTCCCATCCTCTTGGGTTCCTTTTGAAGGGAAACTTCCAAGTATGTGTTCTTATTTTTCTGTTAGCACTGCATTGCTGGAATTTCTTTAGCTCGGATATGCAAACTCAGGCATCCTATCACAGCTGACTGCTGACTGTGTGCATGCCATTAATGGGATACAGTCCTTGCTTTTACATACACTTTTAACAGGAACATTTCCTCTTCTTACTAAATAAAGGGCACTTGAAATGAAAAACAAGCCCTTTTTCACTTGAAAATCTTATTTTGTGGCCACTTCATTCTCTTGGAAGCAGTAGTAACCTAGGTAGCTCATAAGATAAGAGCCAGAGTATGATAGCTTAAATGAATGCCCACAAGTGACGTTTCAAGAGTGACAAACTGCTTATATCTATATTTGAAACCCTCAGAAAGAAAGAGACGGTAGCTATTTTGCACCCATAACTTTCAGCATCTTACACAGAGATGGCAACCTTCTTATATTTTTCAAGTCTTTTATTCACACTGATCTCCAGACACTCTTATTTTCAGCTTTACTGTTTTCACATGCAGCTCTTGGCATCACAAGAACATTACAAAATTTAGATCTAATGTGTCTTTGTTTGATGATTCGAATTAAAGTGTAAACAATGGCTTGACCATGGAAAAGACACCATTCTCCTTACCTACTATCAATCCTTGTAAAGGCTTGCTTCTGCCTCTGTGTAATATGACTGAGAAGCAGCACCAGTGCTGCTCAGTTTATGTCCAGCTACTGCTAACCAGAAGATGACAGACTCCAGACCTGCCAGCCAGCACCTCTTACCACTTGCTCACAATTGTTTTAATTGTATCATTAGCATTAAAGGTCTTTAAACATGGGATGTTTACTTTTCGTCTAAGAGGTAAAGACACACAGACAGTGCATCTACGTTGGAAAAAAAACCCAAGTCTGTACTTACATACCCAGCTTTACACAAGCTGCCACATAGATTTTAATATTTTTCATGTTGTGATACTGACTTAGGCCATGCTAAGTGGGGGGGCTCAAACTTTGCACTGGCAACTCAAGAGCCAATTTGCATATTAAGAGCAAATTAATACGTATGGCACAGTTACTGTCATAAATTTAGGAGAACACTACTGTTTCTGGTCAGAAGTATGACACTGTTCAATTAGTAATATGCAGAGGCTTGCTGACTCTCCAGCCAGCATGTCAAGAACCCAAGAGACAGTTGTGAGAAAATGGTCACTTTTGTATTAGGAATATCTGAAGAGAGCACCAAGTAACTCTTACTACACACAGAGGCCCAATCATTCAAACTCAAGTGAGGCACTAGAGAATTAGAATTCATCTGCTGCCCACAGACAATATTGCTGTGGGTCGTGTTTGTCACCTGCTGATATTATAGGTCACTGCATTCTACAGTATATGGTCAGGAGGGATCATGTAAGAGTGTCTCAGATTGTATGTCGCTTGTATTTCATTCCTGATCCCAAAAGTCCTAAAAAAGCACAGTCCTAAAAGAGCCCACTCAATCCTCAGTAAAACCAGTGGAAGATAAGTCTAGTACATGGGCTCTGCAGTTTTCTATCTGCATTCTGACACCAGAACACCGGTGCAGATTTATCTGGGAGGGTGATACTCACTGTTATAGAATTGCTGAGCTGTTTGACCTTCTGCTCTAGTTGTTCTCTTTCCTGTTTTAAATCTGAACTCCATTTAAGTAGTTTCTGTTTTTCTTCTTCTTTTGCTGCAAAACAGAATATTAATCACCTCAAGAAATAATATTTAAAGTCTTCCTGTTACCATTGTGGATATAAGCTCTAAACTGTTTCATTTAGAGTATTACTGAAGTAAATTCAACCACGTTTGCAATAAATCACAACCAAAATTTCACCTGCACATGCAAGTATCACAAAAAGCTTAAGAGTTTGGACTGCCATTATCACTTCAATGATTAAGTTCTTCCTCTTTAATTTCCTTTTGAAAAGGAAGTATCATGCTGTCCCATTCCCTCAATAACATTTTCCAGTTTTAAAACTGAAAAAAACCCATTGCTCCCCATTTTCCTACCTGCTTTATACGCAATATATGAATGAACAATTGCTAAAGTTCCTGGCCACGGGATTGCTTCTTCTTTCTTTAACATCTGAAAGAAAAGTGTGTAGAGATTTAGCTGGTAAACAATCTATCCCTAAGAAAAGAAAAAGAAGAAAGGGAAAAAACAATGGATTTTCTCTGTGGCTATCATTAATCTGAGCTCTGTTAACATGAAGCTTTGCAGACCTGCGCTGAGATTTAACAGAGGGAATTATTCACAACTTACTGTAGCTCCCACAAAGGAGGCCTGTTTCTTACAAATGTCAGCATATTCTCAAATTCCCTCCATAGCCACAAATAAACTAATGAAAAAGAACAACTTAAAAGAGGAATGAAAAGATAATGCATCTGAACTGAAACTTGCCAGGAGACATAAACATTATTGCATGGTTTGGACAAATTGCTGATCTCAGTTGTTCTGAGAGAAAACTTTTCATGTCACAGAGCAGCTTCCATACCACACATTTAAACAACACTCTTCTGGGCTAATAACACATCAAACTGTCCTATATGCCCTTCATATCAGAACTGTCTTAATAGAATCATCAAGCCCTCTTTATATAAGGATAAGAACCATTTATGTATTTAAGTGCATTCCTCACATATTCCTTCCTAAGGAGCTTTAATTTGAGAAGAAAAATGTACTGTGTCTTTTTAATAAGTGAAGCAGAGGGGTGCCTCAGGAGATAGAGGACTTGGTCACTTTTCAGTAAAATAACTCAGATATTTCCCAGAATTCTATGGGAATGTACTACAGAAATACAAAGAGGAAGGATATGCGATAGTTCACAAGAGCAGGAATAGAAAAGTGGTAATACTTCCTCCTCATTTGCAATGACTGACCAAGTCACTTGAATTTTGCATTCCTGCTCCTCTGAGCAGCACATAATGTACCAGGTTGTATTCTTACCTTACCATCTGGCCATGTGAGTGACTAAGCAATATGCTAAACCAGACAGAACACTAACAGCTTCAGGCTGCTGATTAACAGCAATCCTTTGCAACTTCTGAAGTGCCACATAAGGTTACGAATACCCTGGTTTACTTCTTTGTCTTGTCATTTCAATGCAAGTATAAACAAAATATTAAAATATCATCTGTTCACTTCAGTTATGTACTTTGAATAAAGAAGGACCAAAGTATTTGCCCATCCTCATTATGCTGATGCTTGACAATATTGCTAGAGAGATCACTGAAGACAAAGTCTCTGATGCCTGATTTATATAAGAAAAGAGAGGTTTGTATTTTCTCAATCTATTGAGGCAAGCTCGTACAAACACTTGATATATTTATCCAAAAGAACATACCAGTGACTTTTAAAGAAACAAGTTCAGATGAACAGGAGCATTTCTATGGGTAATAGAGAACCTTTCCCAAAAGTCTGTGTGCTTTGGCCCAACAAAAGACTGAAAACACATAGGTAACAAATAAGGACCCCAAGTCCAGAAGGAAGACATAGGTAATTAGATCAAATTTACACAACCCTTACTGCAGATCAGATAGATTGGTTCAGTGTCAGCCTGCCTTGATGTAAGTAAGCCAAGCGATGCGGTTGTTTCCTTTAACTTGGAAAAATCTTTGCAGTGCATTGTGTATAACTCTCTGTCTGTTAAACAATACCTGGTCTTGACATTTGGGACAGATCCACATGCCCTTGGGAATGGTTTTCAGAGGCGGATCCAGACAGTCCAGGTGATAAACACGTGAACATGTGTCACACATCAGCAACTGCCCACTTTTTCTGCAAACACTGCAAAAATCCTCATGGATATCGCCCTATAAAAATTGAGGGGAAGGGGTGAGGGTCAGAAAAAGAGAGGAAGAAGGCAAAAAGTGAATTTTGACCTTTGACATCTACATCCTTGTTAAATGCAAAGTTTACAACACAACTATTTCTAAGGGGATTCCAAACGATCAAGCCCTTTATAGGAGGTGAAACAGGAAAATCAGGCAGGACATCAGAAACACATCAGTCATCCCAAACAGTGCCCTCCCAAGGTAAGATATTATAGCAAACACTAATCACCATACATTCTCTTAACACATAGTAACCCATGGCCTATGTTATTTTAGAATCCCCTCCCCCTTACCCTGCTTGTTTTTGCCTAAAATGATGAGCTACCCACTTTCTTAACCCTTCTCATTTCTGAATGTAAGCACAACTCCAGTTTGGGAATGCTGATGAGGCGGTCTCTTGCCAGTAATTATATGTAAGAAACCCCAGTGGAGTGACTTAAAAGAACACTGTCAAATATTCAGGTCACCTTTAAAAATGAAAGTAGAAGGAAAAGGTGCTCTGCTTGTAAATGAAAAAGAACAAAATGAATTACACTCTGGAGACAATTCTTTTTACTTCACAGAGGCTACCTCGAGTTGCACCAAAAAAGCTATGACTCAAAATTCTCTCATTTTCTATCGGCAGTGGCTTATGTTTCATCGCTAGCATAGGCTGTGAGAGCCAAGATGAAGGAATACCCAAGAGAGATTTTCTAGGAGTTTTCTTTTTTGGAAAGAGTTGAAAACATTACTAACATCTCTTGGCAAAATCTAGTCCGACTTACTACTGTATCACTATCAGAGATATTTCTTTTCTGCATGCATCAACTCCCCAGAAAGAAAGGTCTAATTTTTGTCACTTTTTCTTCTCTCTCTCTCTCTCTTTCTCTCTCTCTCTCCTCCTGTTACTCCCATCTTATGCTTGGGTTGGTAGTTGTGTTCATGTTTGTTTTCACTTTGTTCTTTGGACAAAAGTACACAGAGGCATGGAAGAAAAATGGGTTAGTACCCATAGAATAGGAAAGGGGCATCGGAACGCTCTTCCTTCTCACCTGTGGCTTGTTCTGACAGCTTGACATATTCTAGGCCCTCTCTGGAGTCTGAAATATGCACTTCTCACTAACTTTAGTCAAAAGCTTCACACAGACAACATCCTCAAGACTATAATCTCAGAATGTGTGTGCGGAGTCTAACTGTGCACACACTCTCCATCAGTATACAGGCATTATCAGTGCATGCAGTTTTTTGAGCTGTACAGTCTTTTCATGCGTGTAAGTTCCATTATCTTGGAATGATACCGGACTTGGCCATGCACTTACAACATTAAGTTGCCAGACAAGAAAAATGATGCTAACCTCTACTACGGATAAAATATTAAACATACTAGAAGAATGAGACACAGGCAATCTGCTAAGGCTCCTACTTCCTGACTCTGTTGCTGATGAGGCCTTTCTTTGAAGGGAACACTATGCTTCTCTTAATTCCCAAGGTTTGCACTGATGCTGTGTTTTGTAAAAGATCAACCTTCAGTGAATTATCAGTGCCGTTTTTTGGTTCTGTAATTCCCAGGGATCACTGGCAGCTGGGTTATGGTATTATTTCATACTTTAACACCACAGAGCTCTTTGGTGTTAACAGAAGAATGAAATGAGTGACATTTCATCCCTCCTCTGAAGTGATCTGCGTAACCAGGCTGGGAAGAGCTTCTTTTCCTCCATTATGCATTCTGCAAACACAAGTGAGGAAAGGAAGGCAGGCAGCAGGTGCCAGAGAAGCTAAACCAAAATCCTCTGCAACCTAAGGAAATTCTCACATTCCAGTAGAAAATTCTCATTCTAGAGAATTATATGTGTTGTTAAGATGCCTTTGGCTGCCATCGATTACAAATGGCATTTGGTACCTGGCTGAGGTGCCTAACTAGTGCTATTAAAAAACCCAAACTGATACATCTAATATCTTGCAGAAAGAGACCTATACAAGAGGTGCGTTTTGTTGCTTCTTGAAGAGGAGACATGAAGAAATTTAGGTCCAAAGCCTTTTAAATTCAACAGAACATCATAAAACCAGTAGTGATATACTGGTCAGTGTGCAGTGTTTCTGAATGCATCAGAATGGCAGCACACACGCATAAAATCCATAATCCTATTTTGGTTCATCAAAACAGTAATACAAATTTCCTGGTATTCCCTCAAAATTAGTAACTGGACATTAAAAATAAAAAATCCAGCCAATGCTCAATTCCAAAGAAAGATCCCAGGTTTTAAAGACAGTTAATAATGTATGCATGAAGGGTGCTGGATTTGATGTTGTGACATGCACCCCACTAATCTCAGCTTCTGGCCCTGCTCCCTGAAGGCTGTTTGCAGCCAACTTATGTTAGAGCAGAGCTCGCTGACGATGCTCTAACATATGTTATAGGCAGAAGACGCTGAAGAGTAATTTCAAAACAGTGTGAATATAGAAGGTGATTTAAGGTCACTATTTGCTCTATTTCTTCTTCCAAGATAATGGGAAAGTAAATAAAAGCTTTCTGAACAGCTAACATTTTCCTTTATTTTTATACGGTATCTACAGCAATAAGGCCTGCCTTTTGGCAGTACAACAGAACAATACGATATCAAATCCACAGTATGTGTGTATAGCTTATGTGTTTGAATGTGGACATGTATTTGTACATTTCACTAGAATAACATGGTAAATCTAAATTTTCTGGAACAAGAATTGTGCAAGACCACATTAATAAAGATTATCATAATAGGTATGCGTGCTATAAGTGACTCAATTATCACAAGCAATAATAATCTAGGCATTCTCGAACATTTATGAGCTTGACTTCACGGTCTGAATGTTCTCCAACGCTCTGCTCAACTGTAACATTTATTAATTTACTAATAAAAAGGCATTTTGCGACCACAGGCTTGAACCATTGCTAGAATAGAGATTTCTAGACAGAAAACAGTTTTGCATTATTCTTTCTGCTGACTAATAGACTATCAAAGGCAATTGCTGTCTTCCAGGTGAATATGCTATTGTGTGAGGGAGAATCACCCGTAACCAAGTGGTTCACAGCCAACTTCAAGACAGAAAAAGAAAAAAAAAAAAAAAAAAAAAAAAAGCTTTGTTCAGCCCTGCCTGTTATTATTTCCCTCCTTTTCCCAGGCTCTGTTCTCAGTTTCTACCCCTCCACCCTTATCTCCACTCCCATCTCAAGTTCCTCCCTTCAGAATTCATCTCTGTCACTGAGAGGATGACAATTCAGAAGAAAGGCAAGAAGCCATTCTGGGCTGTGGTGATGAATGCTTGGTCAATTTTCACAGGTTGGCTAAAAACAAAGTTTTTTCAGCTACCAAACATCAAATTTCCATTCTACAGCCTATAGGAATTAGACTTTCCAAATAAATTAGTGTAAAAAATGTTTTGAAGATGGGAAAAATCGCAGTTTTCTTCTTTAATTGCCTGGGAAACAGCTGAAAGGTTTTAACTGAGACTTTTAAAATAACTTTTTACTTGGGCATGCACGTATCATGTTTTCACTCTATATGGTCACCAAAAGCTGGAGGAGTAACAACAGGAAGCATTTTTTATTCTACCTGGAATACATCTTTCTATATTTTGACAAACACAGATTTGTAATTAATGAATACTGAAACAATCCATCAGCTAGGTCTGAACACTACCCAAACTGAGAAAATTCAGGGCATTCAGAACGAGATTAGAATGCTACAAGAATTCTCCATTCTTGATTTAGCCTGCTGTCACCAGGCAGAGCAAGAAAACAGGACACCACCGCATTATACTGTTTTGAGAGCTTTTATACAGTAGGAAATGACCATACAAAAGTCAGAGATGGAAAAGATCTAACACATTATCCAATCCTTCTCATGGGGCCAATAAGAAAAGAAAAAAAAAAAAAGCTCTCTCCAGCATGTTTACTTGTCAATTTTACTGGTTACTTTTAGAAGTCCCCAGAGATGGAGCTGGCACACCCTCCCTCTGTGGGGCTGTTCCACAGTCTCTTTCATCTGACTGTCAGCAAAGGGTTTTTATAGCTGAGTGCTGTTTTGCTCTCAAAAGTAACCACACAAAAGCGCACCTTCTAATTTCACATACATATTCCCCGTGTATCAGAACTGCATCTGTTTATTTCTATGACTCAAACACACTTCCACTATTTCTATTTCTGTTGCCTCTACAGAACAAATACCGTTCAGAAGCAACAAGATAGCTTCTGTTGCCTCTTCTCCATGGCCAATAGTTTGTCCCTTGGTCTATGCTCTTTAAGTGGTGAAACTGCACAGGTGAAAATAAAACCACCCAACTCAATGCTTCCGTAAAGTCCATTTCAAGTTGCTGGCTCTCAATTACACACAATATTACATAAAAAAGAAGCATACAAACAAACAAACCTAGGTCTCTTATTCATGTGAATAAATAAGCCAGTATCTTTTTATTTTCAAACTGTTCCCAGTACTTAGTAGTTACTAAAAGGCAAGCACTTTACTGGAAGTACACTACAACTCCTGACAAGTTTTGTACAATGAATTACTTCACTCAGTCATTGTACACTTTTAGACAAACCATACTGTCCATTCATTACATTGTGTCAGACCTACACAGTAACTCAGATCAACTTTCCCTGCTATTTCTTTTCAGAAACTTATGCACAGCCTTTAATTTTTTTCTTAATGCTTTTGGCAAGAAACAGAAACAATGAAATAACTGGGTCATCCTCAGCAACTTTAAAAAAGGCTGAGCTTTGAGGGGCAAATCTTTGTTTCTAACTTAAAAAAAAAAAAGAAAAAAAAAGAAAAAAAAAAAAAAAGATATTTCCTTCTTTATAAATTATGAAAAAATGAGCAGATTTCATTTGAGACAGGTTTTGTGAAGCATAAACATAGCAACTGTACATAGCAATGTATTCTACCAATGTAGCTGAACTGCCATAACCAGTGCAGTGAACAACTGCTCCTGGCTGTCTTGGGTGATCCGAGTTGTTTTCCTTCTCTCATTACTGAAACATCACAACTTTCTGTTACTGTGGTCTGTAAGTAATATTTTCCATTCTCTCCTTTCCCCTTTATCATGGATGACAGATTCAATTCAGTCAGACAAGATCTCAAACACGGCACAAAGGAAATGAGCTCATCCAGCATGCCTAGTGCCTCCCAGTGTTTCAATCCACCGCACGTTATAAATAAAATCTCTACAGGATAAGAATGTAGGTGCAGGAGGAAAAAGGAAGGGTGTTAAAAGGAGACTAGATGGTTTCAACGCATTGAACCAGGACAAAGGATGAGTGTGACTAAAGAAACAAAATCTGCAATGATTTGCCTTGTGATTGTTTCTGCATATCTTCCCAAAAGTAACCTCCCTCCCCAAGAATTACTTACGTCTGTGGAGCTGGGGCTAGGCAGGGACACAGGCTGAACAGCCGCGGGAAAAGTAAATGTGGTCTCTGTCTTTTCATTTTCAGGGGAGTCGGGATAACTGGACAGAGGGGACGTGGGCGTCAAAGCCCCAAACCCCAGCACCGTGTTGTACTTAGGTGGACGACCTACATGTTAACAAAAGGGAACAAACAAACAAACAAACAAACAAAATCTTACATACCTTTGGCCAGTGGTCCTCATTGGCTAGCATGAAAAAGGAAATGACGTAGCACAGAGAGGAAGTTAATAAAAAAGTTACAAGTGGAAGGACAGAAGCAAAGATTTAAACATTTTTTAAGAAATATTTAAGTAGAATTTTGCCAGGAAAGAATATTTAAAAGATGTATTTCAGAAGGAAATAGAAATAAGTTCTGTAAGAAGGTCAAAGAACTACTCCCCCAAAAGCAGTCTGCGGACTCCTAGAAACAAGGCTACTCAGTTTTTAGGGAAAATATGTTGGCACCAAAGCTAGATAGAAGCCACAATAACTACTATGAAACCCTTTCTACTGCTATCCCACACATTCCTATCTTTCTACTGCCAGCATAAACCTACACAAAGGTTAAGTCTTATCTCAGAGACCAACACTCACCATTCCAACCCCATCCTTTTCTGCTCATTTTTTAAACCCACTCACCCACAGATCAGCACTTTCTACTTTACTGGTGCATCTTTTAAATTAGGGTGCCTCAAGAAAAGTCCTGTTGTGTGACTCATAACCCCAGCACTACCAGTTGTAATCTGTCGTTGGTCTTAAAATGTGACTCTCCTCAGATTCTGTGTTTTTTCTTAACCTTTCTCAGTCTAGTTTGTTTGACTATGCACAACTCCTATATGCTCCTTCAGATTAGCAGAAGTGCAAAATGTGTCTGTAACTATTTTCATAAAATTATGTATGCAAAGTGAGAGAGTAAAAAACAATATGTAACCATCATTTCTGCTTCCCTTCTCCACAGTAATTTATGACTATGTAAACATAAAGGACTTAGAATAATTCCCCAGATCTTATGTTTACAGATTGTCAGTCCATACCCATTAACATGCTAAACCTTGCATTTAAGGTCTGGATATGTTCCAGAACTAAGTATGTCCTTGGAAATGGATTTCTGATAGTGATGTCCATGGCTGAAATTTCTGACACGCTCAGCACCAACTCAAGCTCTCAAGGGCACATGCTTGCATAAGCTTTACGACTAATATACTGCTATTCTAAATCACAAAATAAATGTATTCACCCAAATCTTCTATCAGTTAAAAATGCATGCTACTAATTTGGCGCTAATAGAAGGTGCAGGCTCACAACAGTGTGTGAGAAAAAAAAAGACAGTAAAACAGCAGTCAGCATGCATACACAGGCTGAGAGAATATCAAGCACAAAAGCATGCAATCCCTTTCATTGATGCATTAATTGTTCACGATGGCTTGTAAAATAGAATTAAGAAATGATTACTAGAAGTAGGAACATTTATTTATCCACAGAACAAATGCAACACTCTATCTCTGTAAAATTCATACCATACTATTAGAAAAAAAAATCTTTTTTTAATGTGACTAGAAGATAGTGGTGCATACTGACGTGCTTTATTCAAAACAGCACAAGGGTCAGCCCTGTCACATTGCCTTCTGGACTGACAAGGTTTGTCAAAGAAAGTACACATCAAATGAATATTTGACATTGCAGCAAAAAAAAATCATAATTGAACTGGTCAATTCTATAGTTGACTGCACAAGTTCTTAAGAACTGCAGAAAATCATAAAATCAGGAAAAATTGTTATATATGTGTGGTTGATGCCTTGTATGAAAACCTGTATGAAATTCTGTGCTATGTTGTGCTGACTCATGTCTTTCATCATAACATAAGTATTAAAATTTCAACTATTTTTACAGAAGAATTTGGACTGAAGAATGCTGCATACCTATACAAAAGATCATATTCCATTCCTGGACAAGTGGCACTCTGCTTGCAGTGAAGTGCTCAGAAGGAGCAAGATAGTCTTTCTCGAGACAAATTCTTTCCAAGGAACCATCTCTGCTCCCACTGGGGAACAAGCTTTTCTCACACTAAGTTTCCTCTCCTACTCAGAGCACAGACACTTCTTCCACAACCACCTTCTTCTTGACAGCAGCAATACAATTTAGTTATTAAAAAGAGAATCTCGACAGCAGCTTTATACCTCTAAATGATGTTCAGACATCTCACCTTTCACTTTGCTCTATTTTCGTGGGGGAAGGTGGAACTGAAATGAAACACTGAGCTGCTTAATAAAACCTGCTATGCTAATCCCTCGAAGTCAAGATCTGTGTCTACCATGGAAATTTACTAGACAAATGAAGTACTGTAAAGTCCTTCTTTGTTTTGCCCTTCAGATGAACAAGGGGACTGCAAATGCAAGATGGAGGAAGAGGCACAGAGCAGGAAGACATGTCTAAGTATACCTCACCTCTTTTACGCGTTCCAGGATGCATTGTGCTGTTCAGGTACGTGACTGCACTCTTCTTGCGCTGCAGGGGAAAACACGACCATTTTAGCTGGCTAACATTTTTGCAACAGCTATATAAAATAGCTGATGAACAGCAAGGCAGCACTACATATGATTACCAGCTGTTCTGTTTTCTGGAGCACAGCTTCAGAGAAGTTAGCTTTTTTACACTACTTCTGACCTCTGGACTGCTTCAGTCCAATATGCAAGCTGACCTAATGGTTAAGACTAACACTCAGTTTTACATAGGAGAAGGCAGAAAAGGACATAAATATTGTAAGAACACCCCAACGTGCCTCCTGATTAAAAATCTAAGGGTCGTATCATTGCAATGGCCATCTGAATTACAGACAACAGCTACCCTGTCTTGTCAGAGGTAAGATGTCTTGATTGTCATGGTGGTGTGGTGGCAATGTGGCAGAAAACAAGCTCAGAATGAAAGGACTAGCTTCCCCCAGCAAGAGATCAATACCTCAGGCTCAAAAACAGCTCCACTGTATACTGGATTTGCTGTTGTTCTTCTTTTCCTCTCTTGTCGCTTACTTTGGATTTCTTGAAAAACAAAGCATTCACTCAGGTTAGAAAACAACAGACCCTAGAAATTATGAGTTTCTAAGAATGCAGTTTGCATGTGAAGATTTCTACAGAACCATTCATGCTCAACAGAGGAAACTTTATCATGCTTCTAATTTCTGCAGGTTTGGAACTAACAGCTGACAAAAAATACAAATATAGTGCTCAACTAATTCACAAAATGACCATCATCTTCTCTCTAAATAAGAGTACTTCAGGATTAAGACTTTTTATACTGGCAGTCAGTGTAATTGGGAGCTCAAACTAGAAGCCTCTGATAACCTTGTCAGTACCTAAAAATAAACACAGTACAGAAATACACAAGCTGTTGCAACGTTAGGCTGTTCTTCAACGTATAGGATTAAGAAAACAAATTATAATCTATTAATTCATTTCCTTTACAGATTACAGTCCCATGAAATCATGAAAGAAATGAGAAATCCAGATGTGGATTACTGTAAAATTATCCATGGCATAAATTAACTTTGCAGATACAGAGACTGTTTAGAATGCAACAACATTGTCACTAATTTCTTTCCTACCATCAAAGCATGCACTTTCTTTCCCAACACTGATCCTTCTGATCTCAGCTGCATAAGCAACTGCTTTGCTTCCATGTAATAAGGAGAATAAAAGATGTGCAAGAGACCAGTTAGATCTGGAGTACAGACATCCCAAAAGCACTTTTGTATAAGAAAATACTACACTGAATACAGAAATATGTTGGACTTGTAATTCCCATTCAGAATGACTATGAAACAAAGAGCTCAAGAACCAGCTTAAGACATTTTTTTTTTTACCTTCCAGATGGTCATGAGTAACTAGTCCTAAAGACACCATGAAGGCAAGTTTCTGTGAGAGAGAAGAAAGAGAAAAATACAGAGATCATGACAGTTCTAATTGTTAGGATAAGGTACTTTATTTAGGCCCCTTAAAATCAGTTGACAGGTAACTAAGCACCAAAAATGTTACTAATAATGCTTTGCTTCCATAGCTCACTTTTCATTTATATATGCTAATTTGAGAACCTAGGCTGATACACAGGGAAATGTCAATTGCTTATGATCACCAAGTTGGCAGAGCCAGAAACAAGAAAGCAGTTTCTTTGCTTCCAATACACTGAGATAAGTATGTGATTGGTTCTTAGTAAATGCCAACACAGTTTGCTTGCCAGTAAAATATTACTGGCTACAGAATCATCTCCATATTATTGCAGACTATAAGGAGCAAGTCTGTTACGCAGTTTGATTAGGGCTATGGCTTTCTCAAGGGATTCTAATTTTAATGCAAGAAGTGCACAGACATCTAAAAATCAGAATTTGTACTGACAGTAGCTAATCTCACATTACAAATAGTCAGCTTGAATCTATTTAAAAAAAAAAACAAACACATTTAGTTGTAATCAGTTTCAGAGCTCAACATGGCAGAAAGGCTCTAAGAAATAGCCATTTTGGCTTTTCCATGCCCCCCAAGACTAATGGGACTAAACTAGAATAAAATCTAGGCAGAATGTGTACATACATGGCTCTTTCCATCCTGCTAATCAGAACAGTAGTTTCTTATAAGGGAAAAAAAAGGCAGTTTTTCAACAGACTAAAAGCTCAAAGGATTAGAAATCAACGCTGTAATCGAAGCTTCCTGGTTGAAGGAAGTATCAGGGAAATTACAAACTTCTAATTTAACAAAAGACCAGAATGAAATATGCAATGCATTATATCTGTTTAGATTTCTCATTCTGTAGACCTAATAGGTCTACAGTCGTAGACTGATAGTTACTGCTGCCCAATAGGATATATGAAATATGAAAGTTTAGGAATCTTAAGGGAAGAGGGAGGAAAAAAAGTGTTTTCTGAAGGACAAGGAATTCCTTCCATCCAGAAAACTCTGGATGTGCTCTGATACCTGTGGATTTTCTTCTCGTTTTGGCTTCGGTGCAGCAGGTGGAGTAACTGTACGACTTTCTGTTTGCTTCTCTTCTGCTTCCACATGTGGTTTAATAGTCTGAAAAAAAAAAAAAAAGTTTCTCTCATTCTCTGATAAGGAGGACTATTTTATTTTGACTAATAAAGCAAAACAAATACTTCAACAGATACAAAGAAAAACAGTTTAAAGTTGGCAGTGTATTAAGAAAGATTCGGATTGAGAGGAATATTAAATACTGTTTTGCTTTAACAAAGGATGAAGCAGCCTCACAACCATTCCATTAACCCAAGCAGCCATGCAAGCAGTAAAAGTCATCACAAGAGTTAACTCCATTACAGAAGTTGCTGTACTGTTTGGGAAGGAAAACTTCAGGTAAAACCATTCTGCATGGTTACATGCATTTTATACTTCTGGCTCTTCAATCTTCTTGAAGAATTATGAATGGCTCAAAAACTCTCTCTCTGACTCCAAAGACCTCATATTTTTCTGCATTTTTTTTCTTAAGTCAGATTCTTCTTCAGTGATACCACAAAACTTCATGTCAACCCCTAACCCATGGCACAGCTGTTGATACTACAAACTGAGGTAATCTCTACCAAGACACAAACTCTTCCTCACTACCAAGCAGGGAAAATATACTGAAAAGTTAATGTATTATTAAACCAGCAACATTTTTCTGTATGTTTTTCAACAGTTCCTTGATTTTCCAGTAATTATTTGAAGAGCAAATGAATATTGCTGACATCAAAAGGAATAGGCATCAAAAGTATAGTATTGTAAAAGTACTACTTCAAATCAAATGAAAAGTGCACGCACTGCTGAATAACTTGTAGAACTGCCTTGAGGTACACAAGAACCTACTCAAGTGAATTCATAGGGAGAACAGAACATAAGCATGTCTTTCATGCACTGGATTATCTCAGTCTCTATAGGTGACTTCAAACGTGGAAGATAACTTCAAGGCACATTAGTCTACGAAAGATTTGTAAGTAAAATGTATAGTAATATATGCATAATTACACAAATACACATTGTATGCTATAGATAATACATTATACATTATATAATGGCATAATATCACTAACGTGTAATAAATGAAAGAATTAAAAGTGAAATAGAAGATTGCTTCACTTCAACTGAATGCCAAGGAAGCAGCAGCCGCAAACCATGCTAAAGTAAAAACTTTAAGAAAGTCTTCGGTGGAGAGGGACTTTAAAACTAATTATCTAGAATGCTCTGTTTCTGAGGGTCTCCCTTCTGCTCATTTAACCCAATTTAGTCATGGTGAACTACCAGTCCTCTAAAGATGAGTGACTCTATTTTTTCTCCAATTGTAAGACAACAAGACTACAAGATCAAGGAAGAAATTGTTGGATTATATACTTCTATGGCTTTGCATCTTTTTTTTTTTTTGCTTCTCTGGTTGGCAACATCTGAAAAACAAAAACACTGAAAATATTTTTCCAGTGTTTCTTAAAGGCTTCATATGAACATGGATTTTGGTTTGTACACGGTCTCCAAGAAATTAGTACAGCCTTGGAATATAGCTTGCTTGTAATCAACAGAAGCTGAACAGTAGAGAGAATAAAACTCTTAAAGTATGAAAAGAAGATGTTACAGAAAAAAGGTTATTTCTACCCCAAGAGTCAGAAGTAATTTCATAATTTGTACTATTGTTGGACCATGAATATTTCCAGCAACCAATGAAAGCTTCCCCATTTCTTATCCTCTCCAAAACCATAAAGCAATACATCCAGTATGCTTATTCAGCAGACACTTTCTCATCTGTACCTGTTTTTCAACGTTTGGTTTGCTGATCTGTACAGTCTGAGGTCCAGCAAGCCTGGTACCTGGTGCTGCTATCACGATGCTGGTGAGCTGTGCCATAGGGAAAGTTTTGGCTATGGTTGCTGTCTGCCCGTTAACTACACGAACTGGATGTATGGAGTTCTGAGAGTTGGGTAAAGAGGTGGGTGTGAACTTTGTTGTCAGCATCACAGGCCTCTGAATAAGCTGAGGAGCTGCAAGCATTGGAGGAGGTGCTGGGGCAATAGGAATGTTATTTTGGGCAACTGGCTTAGGTCGAACCTACGGGGGAAAAAAAAAAAGGAAGAGAGATATTCATATACCAATACTGCAGAAAAAAATTATTTACTAAGTCTTTCAATTCAGCCTGTATAATCCATGCAAGGTTGATTCCTTACAGAATGTAATTCTTAGCATAGAGTCACAAGTATGATATGAAAAAGAAAAGGCACGTTTTCGAATTTACTTTCATAAGATCCATCCATAAAACATTTGCATAACCAGTCACAGTCCCTGAAACGGCATTTGGATGCACAGATATTTATATTACATGTATATTGCCAAGTGCCTTATATATGTCTAAATCAACACACTGCTTTTGTGAGCCAAAAAACTAATGTAATATTTACAGGCACTGCAGAGACTTTCATGTTAGAAGTGTGTCTCAGGGCTTTATACTGAGTCTTCAACAATTTTTCAGAAAATCCTTGTTATCACTGTTATCATATTACTCTGTACATGTCTAAATAGACACTTGCACATCCACTCTTGCTAAATAAATAGAATTTTCACAATAATACATTAATCTCCCACTGAAAATGCTGAAGGGTACAGGTAAAGGCAGTTAGTAATATTTTTCTTCCATGAGTCACAAAAATTGTTCAATACTTTACTACAAATGCTTGTTCATTTCTTGCCCATTGTTTTTACTTATATGATTACAGTGTACAGAAACAGAATAAATTACTCTGAAAATCAAGTCTTTTTCACTGTTTAGTTTCTGTTGTCCTATCCACATTTAATACTCCACAATGGATTTCATCATTAAAAACAAGGTGATGTTCCAACAGACACCAGCCTATACTTTCCTTTTTTTCTTTTGCACCACATTAAGGCTTGTAGTCAGTGCCAAGTATATGTTGGAAATGAAATAGTTCCTCCAAGATCTTTTCTTTTAATGAAGAAAGAGTCAGTGTTTTTTCCAACCTGTGAAAAAATCTGTTTTCTACAAATTTTACTGCTCAGCTGTGATCAGAAATAACTCTCTGCTGCAATACAGAAATACTTGTGAACAACCTAGAGACATCTTGTTTTTCCTTCTTGCTTATGAGCAGCAAACAATAATTACAGCAATTTAAGGCCTTAGGTGATGCACTGATTTTTGCTGACACCAGTTCAGTGGGTTCTTTCCTTTTGATGCAAATACAGTCATAAATGATCACTATATGCTAATCTCATAATCAAGACAAGCAGGGCAGGAGGAAGCTCAGGATATTTCTAATCCAATCTCCTTCTCAGTACAAGGCAACACTCAATGCAGACCAAGATGCTCAGGCTTTGTCCAGACAGGTCTTGCTAACCCCCAAGGCTGGATATTCCACCACTCCCCTGGGCAGCCTATTCCACTCCTAAATGATCCCACAGTGAGAAATTATTTCCTGACTGGATATTAGGAAAGCTTTTGTTACTGTGAAGATGGTCAAACACTGGAACAGGCTTTCTAGAGAGGTGGTTGTTACCTCGTGCTTGTCAGTATTCTAAGAGGCATTTGGATAATGAACTGCTCAGGCAGCTGGACTGGATGATCTTTGGAGATTCCTTCAAAAAGAATCATTCTGTTCTGTTCTATCGTACATCCAGTCTGAACCTTCCCATGAAGATGAATTGTCTCCTCCACCATGTCACCAATAAAGACTGACAGGCATGATGTTCTCAGAAAATTTCTCCTATTTATGCTATAATTAAGGTCCCTCTTCAATTGCTTGCTCTCTATACACTTACCTGTGGAAGAAAATTTGGACGAGGAGTGAGTCTGGGAGGAGGGATGAACTGCGGCACTTTTATGGGCTGGGGTGTAGCCTGAACCTGCTGTAAGAATTTAAGACATAGTTCAATCAGAGAAAAATAGCTCTGATGTTGTTCACCAAAATCAACACCCTGAATGCACTTTCAGACTTGATGTTCCTGGCTTTTCACTCCATAATTTTTCATTATAGCAGCTTCTTCATTACAAATGTACTGAAAACCGAAGTACCCCTACTTTCCAGTGCCTGTATATCTTTGTTTACAAACAGAAGGCGTCTCTCCTTTTAGTGCACCTGTACTAACTACTGTGGTCTGTGATCTAAAATCACCTCATCTAAAGATAATGAAACTATGATTTGTTTTAACAGTTCATAAATGGCATTATAACTGACAGAAAGTAACTTCAGGCTTTGATGTCCAGCTACACTATCCTATTATATTCAATGGCATCCAGGAGAACGAAAGATTATCTCGCACAAATGAGAAAATTTGGAAGATAGAACTCTACTATTTCTAGAAATATTAATGACACTCTGAGGGGCTGTAAATGCACAGCCTAAAATTCGAAAGTAAGTCAATTGAAGCAATTAAGCACTGATTTTAAGGAGGCCTAAGTTCTTCTCTTTCTACCTGAAATCAATTGGAGTTGCCAAGTAATTAATCTGATTAGTGCTACTAACTACCCTAGTTGAGTACCCAGTGAGATTCTTTGAGATTAATGTCCATGTTAGTTTCCACCCTTCTCTACTTCTGTCCATACACATAAGATTGTGGTTTACTTCAAAAAGGTATCATGCTGATTAATTAAAGCTAAATATTCTGAGATTTTTATGAAATGTGCTTGCAAAACCTAAACCATGTGTAAGTATAATAACACTATCACCTGCACAGCCTAAGTAGGTTATTCAGCAAAGAGATTAAGCAGAAGCATGGAAGTCAGATGACAGGGGCAACAGATGACTCTGGAAAAGGGAACAGCAGAAAAAACTCCATGCGTTCTATCCTGATTACAATGATGCCCTATCAGGAAGTAAAATTACTTTGATTTGCATTATTAAACTGTATTTATTAAATTGTACTTTTAAACAAAGATAAATAAAGATTTGTATTTAGTGAAGTTTTAATCTTTAATTCAAAAGTGGAATTTCCCTGTCATGATCCTATGTAATTCTTAATTTCCAGTCCAAGAAGGTCATATAATCTAATTCTACAACATTTCTTCTTATATTTCCAGGTGTCTCATTAATTGTTCAGCAAGTTAGCTACTCTGGAAAAGACTGCATGATATAATCAGAGCACTTTCCAAAATACATGATTAAAGAAACAGGATCTGCGTATGAAAAAGTGGTGAGTGAAGACACGGTAGTGAGCAGAATTAAGTGGTGTGTCTAACATGAGAGACTTTATCACAGAAAGTGAACAAGAGAGATTGACTCAAAAAATGTAAAACAAAAGCCCAAAATGATGAAGCCATGAAGTTCTGACAGCACCTTTACCAAACAAAAGAGTTGAAATTTTGCAGAACACAGCCCATACACTGCGTAGGGGCACAACAATTGCTGCTTCCACGTGACTAACAGTTACTACACAGAGGTGATGACAGCACTGATTTAATTCTATAGAGCCAAACAGTAGTAACTACTCTTGTAGAGAGTAAATATTTTTCTCTTGGTCTTTCAGTTTAGCAGTGTCAACCTACGAAGTCTCATAAGTCCCTACTCTTCGCCTTTCTGATACAAGAAGGTGATTTTTTTTTTTCCTATAGCCCTGTTGCAAACTAAACCACACATATTTGCAGGGCAAACACACGAAATGCTTACCAAAGTGACTGTGTTTTTCGCCACTATTTGGACTGTCTCAGCTCCTGGCCCAGTGACCTTATTTGTTGTCTGGAGGTTGACCGGTGCATTCTGCGCATCAGTGCTGAGGACTGCTTTCTGGTTGTTGTTGATAGCAGTAACCATGGCAATGGTAGGTCTCTGACCCACAACAGAGGCAGGCATGGTCGCAGTTGCTGCTTTCAGGACGAGAGGTAGTGTCTTAGTGGTGATCATAGAAGCTGTAGTTACCGTTTTCTAGAGGAAACAGAAAAAACACTGTAAGAGACAGAGACATTTGGCATCAGGCAGGATGTGGGCTGGTTCATCAGAAACAACAGACAGTAGAAGAAAAGGCAGCACTAAGTCTACCTGCCCACTGTTCAGACATGCATATGATTTTACTCTTCTGAAAACTGGATAGCTAGAAAGAAATCTCATCTGGGGCTCCTGTTGGGAACATTTTCATCATCTGCAGAATTGGAGATTGATTCAAAAACAGTTTTTGAGAATATGACAACCAAGTGTTAGCAGAGAGAGGTATATACGATTTTTGATCTTTTAGTTTCATACTACTTGTAAATGTGTACTGTCAACATCAACCCTATATGCTGGAAGTTTATGAAACAAACCAGCAAACTAGCTTCTCATCAATTAAAATACATAATTCCAAATGGAAATTTTACTTACAGAGATCATAATCAGAGGAAGAGGGAAAAAAACCTCATAACCTTATTTTTTTCTTTAAGAACAAAAAGGGGTTTTGATTCTGGTTAGTCCAAATTTCAGTTTTAGACATACAGACAGTAATTTAGTCCTTCATGTTCTTTCCTAAGAATACCAGCAGGGCTATCCTGGAGTTGTGAGCTGGCTGTACGCCTGTCCAGCTGCAGGCAATTAATTTTAACTTCACTGGAATGGGGGAGTGGGGGTAGTTTTGGTGCATGCACACGATTTCAGATTGCTGTTAGCGTGTTTTAAAGAAAGTGGTTTTGAATCACTTAATGTCAGCATTTATCTGAAATGCATTGATACACTATGCCCCAAATTAAGTGCATTCCAAAGTTAAACAACCATAATTCCCAGTTTTGGTTTAAAATGTACCATCTTCTAAGATACTGAGGAAAACAGAAAATATCAGTCTCATTCAAAAAGTAACAAGGCAGGAAGATCTCCATATAAAATCAGAACACAATGTGCACAGAAAAATCATGATGAATGACACTCGATAGAATGGCAGAATTTATCCCTTCTCTCTTTGCTGTAAAAAATCCAGTGTATTAATGAGTCTGCATCTTCAAAACGGTTACTGGCATCATTAAATGCTTTTAGAATGAAATAAGAGCCATTCCTTCCTGACAATGGTGCTGGACTTTGGAACAGAAAAAAATGGAGAACCAGGGGTCAGGCAGCCTTTGTCATGTTCTGAACATGCCTGATTCAGATTTATGAATTACGATGGCATAAGACCTTTCTTTTCATTCTAATAAAGTAATATATTTCCAGTTGGTTTTTTCAGTATTTTCTCTGATAACTATTTCCTTAAACTAAAATGTGTTTTGCCTTCACACCACCAATTTTTTACTGCTTAAACTGTATCTCCTAATTGTTAATTACACTCAAGTGTGAAAAAATCTCTGTATAATGCCAAATCAAAGAATAATTTGTGCTACAATTTTAATGCATTTATATAAAGTCTGGTCATAACAGTTTTTTCCTTGTCTCAACTTGAACAATTCCCTTAACTTTCCGTTTTAGATATAAGAGCTTCTCATTGACCTCTACTGCACTGTCTCCAAAGCAAGAGGCTCCTTTCCCCTGAAGCAGCTTGAATATTATTCAAGCTTTTCCAATAAGATGTAACACCGTATCATTTTCACAAGAATTACACTCACCTATAAACATTTTAAAGAAAAGTGTAATCCATCATGTAATACAAGACTGGGACACTTTCAAGGGGTTCTGCTAAGTGTGAAAGTACTGAGAGCATAGTTTCAGACAGCAGATCACAGAGCTTGAATTTCTGTATTACTTTGCAGAGCGTTAATTGCTTCGGTTATTCTAAAAGGTTTTCAATGCATGAATTCATACTGAAGTACCATTCACAGCAAGTTTGCTTTATTTCACATAATAACATTGTAATAGTACGAGCTTCCAGCGGGCTTGCTGCTTTTTGAAAAAATATCCCTCTGACTGGATTACATCAGGTATCTTACAGTGTCACTATTAAAGCAGTATATATAACTTTATGCCTGAACTGAATTACTCTGAAAATAGCAATTGAAAGCATTCTCTTTACTGGAAAATGTATTGTTACAAAAGTTGGCAGCAGTAACCTTTATACAGAGACAAAATACTTGACATTACATGTTCCTTGTATCTTTGTTGAAAGAGAAGGGGCAGTTTTACTGAGGGGCAAGAGAACAGAGAACCTGTACATAGATTCCACGTACAGAAGCAAGTGATGATACTGCAGAGTTATACCAACATAAACAAAAACAGATCACTTAAGGCTGCGAGCTGGCTTTTTTTTATTCAAATGAGAGGGAGACCTGCCTTTCAGTTCCTAATTACTTTCTGAGTGCAACCGCATCAAGGAGTCAGAAGGGTGTAGCAGTTTTGTGACTGTTTCACTAGAGGGCTCTTTAACTTTAAACAAAACCTGGGTTTTTGCAACCCAGAATATGACCTGGAAGTTAAAGCGTGAACGCAAAGTGTGGAACAAGGACAAAAATGTAAGGCTGCTTTTGCAGTTGTGTTTCCTGATTGAAAAGCAAAGAGTGATTCACCATTTTACGACACACTTCATAGTTCCGTCCTAGATTCAGTGTAGACGTTTGTGCTCAAGACCATCTTTTTCTTAGACAAGTCTGCTTCATTTCTTCAATATTCTTTTTCAAGTACCTAAGCCTCACACAGATATTTTTAGAAAATATTCAAAACAACTTGCTCACTTAATGAGATAGCTAAGATCCCAACCATTTCTTCCCCTTCTACTTTCAGGAAAAGAAGAGAATGGTTACCAGTCAAAGTTACGGTTGCAACTCCCTGCAATATGCATAAAGCAAATGGTGACTTCTGCCATCTGCCTATCCAAGCTATCCATGTGAGCTGCTGAGATGGCAACAACAGGTGAAAAAAAGTCACACATCCTCTTACTATAAAATGTACCCCTGCCTTTCTACCTGCTTTATTAGCAGACTTTTGAGATTCTAACTATTTGAACAGTAGAGACTTGGAATTAGCGTGCAATTTCCTTCTCAGTAAAGTGGTCCACTTTCCCTGGTGAGTTCTGGGATTATATCTCTAATCCCATACTGTAGTGAAATTAATGTGCTTTCCCAATAAATACACAACTATCTAAAATTTAAACTTTGTAACTACCATTGTATCCTCTTAAATTAATGTGTGCAGACTCGGGTAAGAATTATTACATATGAGTTATGTCTGTTTAGAAAGAGCCAGGCAGAAAAAAGAGGGAACAGTTTCCTTACATTTTGCTCACAAAGACTGTGAGTCTTTTAAAAATAAGTGATTTTAATCATACACTTCATACAGTACAAGCAAAGTCTTTACTGTTCCTTGAGATCTGCTGGCTATGGGTAATCACATATGCACCTGTGGAAAAGACAGATTAATCTGCTAAACTTTTATTTATTTCTAGTAAGATGATGCGACCACCTTTCTTTTTTGTGACATTATGATCTGACTTTTAATCTCTAATAGGTGGTTATTGAAGAAAAAAAACAACGACAAACCAAACCAAACAACTGATATGTGCACATGCACAGAAAGATAAATTAATATTGGTACACTAAGAGGCCAAAGTGAAAGTTTGTAATTTTCTGTCTGCAACTTTGATTTTTCTGCAGTGAACTTTACCTTCAGCAAGGAAAAGAACTGCTCTGGCAATTCTTACCTGTGATCCAATCACGTTTGGAGAGGGTGCAGTAGACTGCTGCTGCTGTTGATGGTGGTGTTGCTGTAATTGTTGTAGTGGTTGTGGCTGTGGCGTCTGTAGTTTGTTTTCTGACTGTGCCAATGGCTGTATTTGAAACTTACTGTCTGGCTGTTCCTGCTTCACTATCAAATTCTTCCGAAGCTGTTCCACTACTCTTTTCTACAAGACAAATAGAAACATAAACAGATACAATGATGGTTATTTTGTTGTGTACGTTAGAGAAGATAATAATACCTAAAGCATTTAAGGTAAATAAAGGACTACACAAAAGTGCAGTAGGAGTTCTCTTTTTAGAATTTTAAACATTGGTGATAACTAATGGACTGAATTCCAGAATAGCTATGCTGTCCAACAAGATGACCTTTTCTCCTTGCGGAAACTCACCCCACTCCAGGCACAAACCACTGCAAGACCTCATTAGCATACATTCACTTGAGACTTGTTGGCATTCAGATTCCAAAGTCTCTGTCTCCTTCTGACACGCACTTCTAGGCACAGAAAATGACTGGCGAGAGAGCCACACTGTGTGCAAAGTGGGGAATAGGAAGGGCACTGATGTGTGGTCATTCAGTCCAATATTATTGTCAATTGAAAGAAAATCAGATAAGGCTACCTACAGCAGGAAAGAAAGACATAGACTTATTTCTCCAAGCTTAAATGCTTCCTGTGATATTATGGCTTTCATGAAAATTTGAAATTATTTCAAAGGGAAGTTTCTTCTCCTGGTAGCTACAGGTATCCTTAGATGATCAAAGATCTGACACCAGACCAGATGACTTATGGGATAAGACACCCTGTCACTGTATGGGTAATAAGGGCTCACATTTTATGTTCGTGTGCTTTAGCAACAGCAAGGAGTGCATATACCACAAGACTTCTTTGTGTGTGCACATGATAGGAAACAAGCATCTCTTCTGATTCTCTAACCACCACCAATGTAGGGTAGCTTTAAAAAGATTCAGATGTGTACTCCAGAATTGTTACATGGATGTAATGAATTGCATGGCTGGATGTGGAGCAGTACACTAAAGAGTGAATTGACACGCCAGGGGCCAGCCTGAGGAAATTTTATCAAAAAGTCTGATGGTCAGACCAATTCAGTCAGAGCTTGGCACTGGCAGAAGGAGCTGCCTGAAGCAGTTCCACTTGCATGAAAAGAAACAAAAACTTTCTGACAGTATCCAATCTTTGGATTTATTTATTTATTTATTTATTTTTTTTAAGCATTTCTATTAGGGTGTAGTACAAACCAGAGAGAGAGAATGAAAAAAATAATAATCCACATACATACAACCAACTAAAACAATCTTTCCCTCTTTATATATATATATATATATTCTTTTTTTCTATGCAGGATTATGGAACTCTGAAGTAGTGAAGTATCAGTTCTTGTAGTTCCCATTCTCACACTTCACACCTACTTCCAAGTATGTTGCTTATGATGGCTTAAGGCTGCACCATGCCTAACACACTAACCTTTTACCTAGAAAACAGCAAAAAATTGCAGGGTTTCAAACAGGCGCTTTTTGAGAACCAGAACTTTAAAAAGCAAGAGAGAACACATTATCAACCAAAAATAAAAGAAATTTAAAAAATTCTGTTTCATAGGGTTGAAAACTGTGAATTCAAAGTACAGATGTTTTTGCAAAAGACTGAATTCAGCAGCTACCAAGTGTACATGAGGAAGACCACCCTTCTAAAACCTCCCCGGAGTTGTGGTGATGGCCCTGGCAGGGATGCACACCGCACTCCAAAGGCAACAGAAACACTGGCTCAATCTCATTGAAAACTCAGGGAGCTTGTAGTAGGCAGGAATGCAAAATAAATATTTTACACTGCACCTAGAAGAATGCTAATAGATATCAAAACCTAAAAACTGGAAGCCGTTCCCGCCTAGAACGAAGAGAAAATATTAAGGGTTTATAAAGTATTTTTCAAATTCAGATGATTAACATAGTTTTAAGTGGCCTGTGTCTATCTGCTCATTCAAACATGGAATAGCTGAACAATCATTTAAAATTGCTGTCTGAGAAGATCAACCATGTTAACCCGCAAACTGAAGTGCTGCATCAGCAAGCAGAAGAGCTGCAAAACATTTCCAAAGAGCAAACCAAGGGGGAGGAGGCGAGAAGGGAGCAGAGCAGGAGAAGAAATACTGCAACATGTCTATGTAATACATGCCAAAAACGTACTGTACAGGAGGCTGAAGAATTGCAGCACCAACTCAGGACAGGAGGCAATAGGACAATCTCGTCCCATCTTGCCAATAGGACACAACAATGGTGCTGCTGGGGAGAGAGCTGCTGCGAGCCGCCTGGCAGCGGTGTATCCTGCCATCCACATCCATTATGCAGATATTAAATTGAAAGAATCATCTAATGCTTTTAAGATTCAGAGCGGTACAAGTGAAGTTTGCAGAGAATGCCAATTGCTGACGCAGTTTATTAAGCTTCCTCTACCAACTGTCAGTAAAAATACCACAGTACCACTACAGAAATCATTATACTATTTGGAAGGCTGTGGGGATTACGTGCTTGCTAGCAGTTATCAGGAGTGGCTCTGAACAACGTATTCTGAAATTACTTAGCTTAATTACCCAAACCAGCTCAGGCTGCCCCTACACCAGCACCAAGCCCAGGCCATGCCTGCTCGCAGCACCTCACTGCTGCATCCTCCCAGCACCACTGCCAGCTCGGGCCAGGAAAGCAAGGAAGTCTACTGTGTGTCTTCATACTACATTAAAGCAGCGTTTTTAAATGGTTCCTGTGAGCTATTGGGCTGTTTTTAATCAATACTGAATGTAGTTTGGGCCCCAAAACGTGCAACCTGCATAGCTGAAATTTGCCAGTGTTGGTGTAAAGTCCTGGCTGCACATTTGGTAAAGCCAAGGGACACAGAGGTGATCTAGAAGTACCACAGAATTCTTAAGAAATATTCCCAATAATTGCCATTTCCTTCCCTCCATTTTTAATTGAAGAATATTTAAACACTGCATTCTTATTGACAACTTCAGAGTTTTAAACTGAGAATAACTCAATTGTAAACACATAAACATAACACAGCAGCTTTCTGAGTATCTAAAACCCACCCGTATTCCTAAGGTAGTTTCTTTTCCCACAGTGCCACAAATGTGTGAAAAGCATTTGTCTTTCAAGTTTACTGAGTTTTCCTCAAAGCCTCTGTTTACATCCAGAATGTGAAATAAGTTAATAATCACATCCTTTCATCTGAGCTGTATCCTACCCAAAAAATAATTGCTTGTGCTCTGCAATGGTTATGGTCAGGCTGCTACAAAATCTATTTGCCGAGCTGTGCCCCGAAAGCATACTGCATAATGTAATAGCTCTTGCTGTCTTGACATCTTCATCACTAACTTCATCAAGAACTCTTCATGCCACTGAGTTCACAGAGCCCTACACACCTTATATGACCCCTTCTAAAAAGTAATAAATGTAGTCAATACTGTGACATTTAGTGATAGCACTTTCTCGTTCACATCTCAGGCCCGATCAAACACAGCATTACATTATTTTGGTTTGATTAAGCAGAAAATCTGCCTCTGCATCTCACTGTGCCTCAGTGAGACAAGAAAAGATGTCTTCTCTGTGCTCTTATCAAAAGCTTTCTTTTATAGCAATATTTTCATTATAAAGTCCTTGATAAAACTTTAAGCACAACATTATTAGCCAAAAATTATTCCCACGAAATCATTCAATCAGTCTATGAAAAAGCGGTATTGCGAGTACAGCAAATTTTAAAATACTAGATCCCTCATTACATTTGGTGACACATTTTCTTTTTTATCCAAGCAACATTCCAAAAAAAAAACCCTGTGCCTATCTAAAGAGGCTCTGTTATTAAACTTCAAAGATCTATAAAAGAGTTTAACGTTAAAATCTCCTTAAAAAAGAGAAAGACGTGAAGTACCAAGCAGCCTCACAGTGCGTACCTTCAGTATCACAAAACCAGAGCTGATGTGCTTTGAATTTACCAAGTACCTGCCAGTGACCAGTGACCTGTTTTCCTGCTCCACCGACTCCAGTAGTAAACTATTAAGTGCACCCTGTTCTCTTACTCCCTGCAATGAGCAAGAAAAGTTCTCTGGGATTTAGAAGTTGCCAGCTGCTGAGAATGAAATGGTAAGAGAGGATCGGGAGTGGGAAGGCTGGAGGGAATCTCCCTGCCCTGCAGTCTCTTTTTCCTGCCTCCCTCCCTCGCATTGCCAGTACCCGATGAGAAATGAAAGACCTCTGCTTCTATGTAGAGTTTAAAGTTACTCTTTAAACTGCCAGGGGTGTGCGTTTTGAGAGTGGATTTTAGGAGTGGAAAGATTACCAGCAAGGAGAATAATTGTACGCTCATCTGCTGATGCATCAGAAAGTTAAAGTAGGAGAACGCAATGATAGAAATCCATGATGCCGTATTTCACAACTGTGAGGAAAAAAATCCATTGTATAGTAAAACTGGATTTTACTTCTATTGACAGATTTCGGAAAGAAATACGTTCACATCTTTAATGGTCACCATGTATTTGTACAGAACTCTGCATCTTTAGCTGTGCTCGACTCACATTCAAGATTGTTTTATGAACAAAAAAATCTAAATGAACTAAATTAGAAAAAAATTATTCCCCTTCAAGAAACATGGTCAAACTTTCTACTTCTTCTCCAAACTGCCATCTATACATGTGAGTTGAAACTGCTTCCCCTGGGAGAGTGGGGACAGGGATCGCCTGTGTTCTGTTGGGCACACAGCCACCACGGCCAGCAGTGGGACTGAGACTGCCAATGCCTCATTACTGGGCACAGGTATTGAAATGTGCATATTTCTTTCTACAATTTACTAACCTAACTCGTTTTTTTCCAAGTGTTTTTGTTTGTTTGTTTCTTTGTGTGTTTGATTAAACACAGACATCTTAACCCTACCTATCCAGTGAGTGGCTGCACCGCCAACACACCAGTGAGTGTCCCAAAGAGTCTGTGCTCCACACAGCCCACGAAAAACATGTCTAAAAGCACTAGAGACATAAAGACGTATTCTGCATGTCTACATGCCTACCTATTTTGAATGTGAGATTTTTCCATTAGGACAGAAAAACACTTCTCAAAGTTGCTAGAAATAATTCAGAAATGGCTTATGCACATTCTGAAAATAATGTT